TTGTACAACTTAATTGTACTACGACTTGTACAGTAATCCAGTATTATCTGTTTGTTGTACTACGACTTGTACATTAATCCAGTATTATCTGTTTGTTGTACTACCGTTTACACTGTTTGTTGATAATACTGGATTATTGTACAAGTCATAGAGCATTATAGCAAAGCTATAACTTAATGTGTAAACGGTAGTACAACAAAGTCGGAATGTTACAGGATTGTGTAAACTGAATTTCAAACAAAACGTTTTGTAAATGCGCTATACGAGTGTCTAAGCTCTACTTAAAAGCTAAAACTTTATAAACAACTACTCAACAGAAATCGACTGTTCTTCAAGTTTTGGACAACACACGAACCCGGTATTTTATAGATATTCTCACCTGTTTCAACACCACATGGTAGATCCGACCGTAAAAGAATGCCATCAGAATTGACGGATACACGATGGTGGCAAAGTAGAGAAAGACCAAAAAGTTGTAGTCCATTATTTTGACAAAGAAACACTTCCCGCCAGCATCGGGACCCGAGTTCCAGCCAAGGAGAGGTAGGAACCCCACGATGAGACCGAGAACCCAACAGGAAATGATAATACCCGCCACAGCTCTTCCTGTTATTCTCTGATGATAGCTGAAGGGATGGAGGATGGCCCAGTACCGATCCAAAGAAACGGCTACCAGATTTAGGATGGATATCGTGCACAGTACAACTAAAAGAGAAAGCATAAACATACATCCTTCGAAGGAGTTCTCTGGCAGACCGAGTTTTGTCATTATGGCAGAGGGTACTCCAACTAGCCCTACCAATAGGTCCGCTGTCGATAAGCTGAGAATATAGAAATTTGTTAGTTTTCGAAGCCGTTTCTCCTTCATAAAAGCGATTAACACCAACATATTACCACTTACGGCCATTAGGGCAACAATAACTTCAAGAATCGTATATGCAATAGGTAACTCGTTTACCGCCATTGTTAATTAGTCCTAGCCCCGTCTTTCAATATCATTCGCTCCAACGTACACGAAACGGTTTTACTTTTAGTTACACACATTGTTGGATCCTGCCTGCTTTTTTTTTTTTTTTGTCCTGACAAACAAGAACTGCTTTCACGCGCACGGTCACTCTGAAATTTGTTTTATAAGCAACCCTCTCTTAACTGGCAGTGATCGAACGAACCAGCGCCAGCGTATCTGTTGTGGTTCGACTGAGCATGCGCAGCAACCGAGTGAACGAAGATTTACCTGCATATGAAACAAAAAAC